TTTTTTTTTTTTTTGCTACTTTTTCTTTTTGACTGTCCATTTGGTTGCCATTTTATTTTAATTTGTAATAAAATAAAATGAAAAAAAAAACATTTGTATGCCTCTTTTATGACTGTCAATTGCTGTCGTTGTTTTCCTCTGTTATCATCACTCTTTGTTAAGAAATCAGGTCTCTCTTGTAAATGAGTGCCCGAGGCTCAATGGGATTAACTTGTATAAATAAAGGTTGAATGAATGAATCCCCTCACACACATATGGCTTTATATGATTCATCATATTATAGGACTTTCATTTTTATTTTTACATTTCTAACCTTTTCACAATTGCAGTTACACTCATTCACTTTCCTCTCTCTTCAGACTGATATGTTGTGCAAATAACATTATAAATTGAAAATACAAAAAGGCAAGGGACAAATTACAAGTTTTACAGATAAAATAACTTTTTATTGTTGTCCTTTTACACCTTATATGTGTCTCCCTGTCTGGACATCTTGCCTGGACATCTTGCTGTCCATCGTCCTTCATCCAGTTCAGGTCCCTGTCCACACTTACAATGGACCAATATTTAGAGTTGCTTTCAAGTACCACCTCTCTCAAACACACTGACTTTTCCACAATGATCTTACAACTGTGTCCTGTCAGAGGAGTATGCAATATGACACCAAAAGAACAGTGATGTAAAGTTATGAAAATCTGCTAATTTAGGAAAATATTATATTTGTACAATACTGCCCACCTCTTCCCTGTCATTAATAGTTTGTACATCATTGACAGCTAGGAGGTCTCTGCTGAAAACTCTGAACTGCTGAATTTTACCATCACCAGTTATATTAAATTTTGTGTGGACAATATTATCAAAACAAAAACAGTTAGATTTTACCCTAATAATAAACCTTGGGTAAATAAAGAAATGAAGCATCTTTTAAACCAAAACAAAGCAGCTTTTAGAGGAGGAGACGTGCAAAAGATGAGGGAACTAGAGAAGGAAATAAGTTGCATGATTAAGAAAGTTAAAATAAATTATAAAGATAAAGTTGAGAGGGAACTGAGTAATGGCAATGCAAGAGATGCCTGGAGGGGACTGAACACAATAATGGGGAGGAAACAAAAAGATTCCCTTCAGCACACTGACCCTTTTGGTCTTGCAAATAAACTAAATGTTCATTATTCAAGATTTGACATCCATGACTTCAGTGATGAGATTGACTCTTTCTGTGCAGCCTTGACACCAACTCCTGTGGAATTACAGGAGAAAGAGGTAATTTCAATTTTTCAGAACATCAATCCTCATAAAGCAGCTGGGCCAGATGGGATTAAGGGAAGGGTATTAAAAGAATGTGCCACACAGCTGGGTCCTGTGTTCAAACAGATATTTGAGTTGTTTCTTAACACTAGCTTTGTCCCACAAGCATGAAAAATGTCAACTATTGTCCGGTGCCCAAAATAACACATGCAAAGGCACTGAATGACTTCAGACCAATTGCCCTCACATCTGTATTATGCAAATGTATGGAGTGCTTAGTGAGCAGAGAACTCATGTCCGTTACAGCTGAGCATATGGACCCTTTGCAGTTTGCATATAGGACTAACCAAGGGGTGGAGGATGCCACTCTCTCCCTCCTCAACAAGGTCCATAATCATTTAGACAACCCAAAGACATTTGTTCGCATATTATTCATGGACTTTTCATCTGATTTTAATACGGTTCAGCCACATATACTTCTAAAATGCCTATGTGATCTAAATGTCAGCAGCCATCTTGTGTTGTGGATTAGCAATTTTTTAAGAGGAAGACCCCAGCGAGTTTGTGTTGATAACACTCTATCTGACTGTAGGGTCTTGAACACTGGTGTTCCACATGGTTGCGTGCTATCGCCACTTTTATTCTCTATATACACAAATGAGTTGCAACACAACAGTAAAGATTTCACATTAATTAAGTATGCTGATGACATTGCTCTAGTTGCTGGTCTGAAAGACACCAACAGTCCCTCCTACTCCCAGCTCAGAGATCAGCTCTCTGCCTGGTTTGATGACAGTTTTCTGGTCCTTAATGTCAGTAAAACCAAGGAACTTTGTTTGGGAGGTAGATGGGGAGCAGCCAGCACCAGACCTACTTTTAGGCCTTCTATTATAAAAGGGCAGGAAGTAGAGCAGGTGACTGATTTTAAATACCTTGGAACAATAATTGACAACAAGTTGACCTTTGAACCCAACACCGACTATATTTACAAAAAAAGCTAGACAGCGTCTCCACCTTCTGTATAAGCTAAGGAGCTTTAATGCAAGCAAAATTACTTTGCAGTTGGTGTACAGGTCACTGGTTGAAATTGTTGTTTCATTAAATATTATCTCATGGTATGGGAACCTCCTAGCCAGAGACAGGAACAAGTTGTCCCGGGTGGTCAAACAAGGTAATAAAGTCATTGGTCATCAACAAATGACACTTACAGACCTGTACAGTCAGGTTCTGGAAAAAAAAGGCAATCCAGGTTTACAATGACCCAACTCATCCACTGCAACCATTATTCAGGTTGGTACCATCTGGCAGAAGACTCCTGGTTCCTTTAGCAAAGAAAAATGGGTACAAAAAGTCATTTGTTCCCTCTGTGGTGAATGTACTTAACAAGGTCCTATTTAAACGCAGCCTCACATAACAAACTGCTGGGATGTTTTCATATTTTAATGTATTGTGTATTTTAGAATGGTTTTAACTGAATGTTTTTAATTGATTTAGCAAAGTTTGGTTTGAAGTTTTTTAGAGTTTTTAATCACATTTTTATTTTGTTTTATAAGCCAGATGTCAAAGACAAATCTCCATTTCATTGAATGTTATGGACAATAAAGTTGAATTGATTGATTGATTGATTGATTAGTGATGTTGACTGTTATGGTAAGACTTGCTTTAGCACTTTTAATTATAATAATAAAACAAAGTTTTTTCCAATATTTTAATGAGTAGTTGTATTTTATTAAAGCAGGAAAAACTGGTGTTGTCCTACTGTCCGATTCACAGTATTGCAGTATGAAAATTGTGGCAGCCCTACAGAAGCTTTCATCCTCAGGTCCTACTGGTCAGACTTGGGGGAGAACCCCTTTAGAAAGGTTTGCCTTGGGCCCCAAAATGACAATGCACACCACTGATTTTAGCCACAGTGTAGTATGAAAAGGTGCTGATGAATCACAAACTGCAGTTATTGTAAAATGTAGTTATTACCAGATCCTGCTGCCAAGAAGAAGCCTTTCATGTCAAGAAAGTCATTATCAAAACCATGCCAGCCATTCTGCCATCCTGAGGGCTCCAGAGCCCCAGAGTCATTTTTCCAATAAGGAAGTTTGTTCTTGTTCTACAGAGAGAACAAAAAAAAAACCACAGACATGAGAACAAAAATAGCATTTAGTTTGATTAAACAGAGTTTGAAGGTCTTAAGCAGAACAACGTAGGTTTGATGCTGCTGAACGGTACCAACAGAACTGGATGAAACTGTTTCTTGATAGCTCATAAAATAATGCTGGATTAAACAATTTAGACCCAAAGATGAAAGGTTTTCAGCGTATACAGCATGGCCTAACATTTGATGCCCTAGTTTAATGCAGCGGTTCCCAAAATTGGGGTCCAAGTGTGGGTACTAAAGATCTACCGGAATAAAATTCCATCCATCCATTATCTTTTAATATTGGATATTGGAATTACAGGAACAGCTCTAAAATGGTTTAAGTCATATTTATCTGATAGATTCTAATTTGTAAATGTAAATAATTAATCTTCATCATACACCAAAGTTGGGCAGCACGGTGGCGCAACTGGTAGAGCTGCTGCCTCTCAGCGAACAGGTCCCTGGTTCAAACCCCAGTCCAGGGGCCTTCTGGGTGGAGTTTGCATGTTCTCTCCGTGCATCCGTGGGTTTTCTCCGGGTACTCCGGTTTCCTCCCACAGACCAAAAACATGCATGTTAGGCTGATTGGTAACTCTAAATTGTCCCTAGGTGTGAGTGAGAGAGTGAATGGTTGTTTGTCTCGTTTGTCTCTATGTGGCCCTGTGATGGACTTGCGACCCGTCCAGGGTGTACCCCGCCCCTCGCACAGTGATTGCTGGACATGGGCACCAGCGACCCCCGTGACCCAAAATGGAATAAACGGGTAAAGATAATGGATGGATACACCAAAGTTATTCATGGAGTTCCTCAAGGTTGAGTGCTTGGACCAATACTCTTTACCTTGTATATGCTTCCATTAGGTAATGTTATTAAACAGAATGGGATACATTTTTATTGTTATGCTGATGATTCACAGTTATATTTGTACATGAAACCCAAGGAATCCAATCAGTTACTTAGACTACAAGCATGTCTTAAAGACATAAAAACCTGGATGACCCTAAATTTTCTGCTTTTGAATACATTCTCTGGGTAAAACCACCATTGCAACATTATTATTAGGTTTGTATTGTTTATTTAGCAGTAATGTGGATTAAAAGTTAAAGTTAAACGTTTTAAATAAAAATTTTACATTCAGAAGCTGAGAAAATTGGGAACCACTGCTCTGTTTTTTGTGCCAACGTGTATTTTTCAACCTTCACTTTGAATTTTCTCCTATTTCCAAAACAAGCAGGTGAATAAAACGTGAACATATGTGTGGATTGTTAATGATTACCTGAATGATAAACCAGCCTGGATTGGCCACTAAAGTCAAGGGGGACACAAACTTCCCTCTTTTGTAATGGAATCGTTCAGGGATCTCTTCTCTGGTGTAAACATGCATGTTAGGGACCCGGGTCAGAGCAGCGTAGACCTGGTAAAACACACAAGTGCACACAAAACCTGATTAACAAAACAAATCTAAACAAAGTTTGACAGTATGAAGCAATTCAAAATACACCACTTATGATGAAGTTTATTGTATACCATACAAAATGGAAAATCCAGACTGAAGAGTTACACAAATTAAAAATATTTAGATCTTGTCAAGACTGTATTTTAGGTTATGGGGTTATTGGTCAAGATCAGGACGAGAAGTCCAGGAGGACTTGTAGAGTTTAGCAGGTGAGGTAATCATGTGAGCAGTGGACCACCCAGTCCCTACGATCACAGAACAGTCATCTCCTTCTCCTTCCACGAACTAAATTACGGACCATGGGAGATTAAGCATTCTGTGTGGCTGCCCCCCGCCTCTGGAACTCCCTACCTGAATATCTGAGAGCTCCACAATCATTGGTTGACTTTAAAAAAGGCTTAAAGACTTTTCTTTTTAAGCAAGCCTATTCAGCCTCCACATGATTTTATCACTTTATCACTGATTTTAGTTGATTTTACCACTGATTTTAGTTGATTTTTACCACTGATTTTAGTTGATTTTATCACTGATTTTAGTTGATTTAATCACAGATTTTAGTTGATTTTATCACTGATTTTAGTTGATTTTATTACTGATTTTAGTTGATTTTATCATTGATTTTAGTTGATTTTATCATTGATTTTAGTTGATGTTATCATTGATTTTGGTTGCATTTTGTAGCACTTTGAGATTTTTGTTAATGAAAAGTGCGTTACAAACTAAATTCATTATTATTATTATTATTATTATTATTATTATTATAGGAGTAGACTGAGTTGACTTCTTCTTTCTGGATCTGAAGAAATACTCAGCGATAGAGAGAGGAATGACTTCCAGAGGGATGAATGCAAGGATTTCCAGGAGTAAACAGAAGAAACACAGTTACCATACCATACCACTTTATTTATAGAGCATGTAAAACAGCGACAAGGCCAACCAAAGTGCTGTACAGACAAAACAACAGGTAACACAAAGCAAAATAAAATGAGGTAAATCAGAATATAGACATGAAAACGATGCAGATAATGATGACTAACCAGTGTGGAGTATACAGGATCAAAACACAGATCATCTGGTGTTAAAAGCTACTGAATAGTAGTGAGTTTTTAAATGGGCCTGTCTGACAAGCACAGGTAACTCGTTCCAGAGTCTTGGTCCTGCTACAGAGAAGGCCCTGTCACTGTGAGGAGCAACTGGTCCGCTGACCTCAGGGAGCGTGGTGGGACATACAGTTGTAGCAGATCAGAGAGATTGGGGGGGCAGCGAAACTGTTCAGTAATTTGTAGACATACATCAGTATTTTGAACTGGATTCGAAAGTGAACCGGTAACCAGTGCAGTGAGGTCAAAACTGGTGTAATGTGCTCTCTTTTGCCTGTACTGATTAAAAATCGGGCTGCTGCATTCTGGACCAGTTGTAGTCGTGCAATGGAGGTCTGACTGATACCAAACAGGAGTGAATTGCAGTAATCAAGCCTAGATGTAATGAATGCATGTATTACTGTCTCCAGGTTATTGTTGGACAATATGGGCTTCAGTTTAGACAGCCGCCTCAGTTGGAAGAAACATGATTTAACAATCATGTTTACATGATTGTTAAGTTTCAGGGAAGGGTCCATTATCACTCCCAGATTAGTGACTCATTGTTTTTCTGACAGGGTTAGAGCAGAGAGGTCGATGCAGTGATTTGTGATCGTGTCGTTGGGAGGGAACAACATGACTTCAGACTTCTTTTCATTGAAACTTAAGAAATTTAAAGCCATCCAGTCCCTGATGTCAGCCAGGCAGTCGAGCAGAGGTTGAATAGAGCATGTGCCATTGTGTCTTAAGGGGAAGTAAATTTGACAGTCATCGGCATAGAAGTGGAAGGGCATGCTGTGTTTCCGGAAAATAGCACCAAGCGGTAGCAGGTATAAAGAGAATAGGAGGGGACCCAGAATGGACCCCTGCGGAACCCCCCATTTAAGCTCTACCTCTGCGGAACTAAAATCCTTGATGGAGACACAAAAGGATCTGTCAGTGAGGTAGGATCTGAACCAATTGAAGGCTGACCCTGTGACGCCCAGTTAAATTTTTTTAGCATTAATTCATTTTGGAAATGAAGAGAGGTGAAACACAAGCATGGAAGCCGGACTTGTCATTATGTGATGTTCAACAGTCCCAGTAAAATTAAGACTTAACTCAGTCTTAAGTAAGGTACGTCTCAACCAGCGGTCACGAGCAACAACTCTACCCTGTCCAGAGCAGTAGCAGTTAATTGTGGGAGAAACTGCAGAAAAACCCAGAATCCTGACTGTTTCAGCCTTGTGTCCATATGAATACAAACACTTAGGAGCTCTTAATAAGTATGTTTTAAAGCAGATCCCAGAGTGAGAAAATCCTTAAAAACCACTGAAACAATCTCTGTAAACAGCCAAAACGCAAACTGAAAAAATGGCACATCAGTCACTCGTTGACAAACTACCGGTATTACACAGCAATCTACAGCAATGGCCAGGACAAACAAAGACCTTTTATAACATTTGACCTTGATTTGTGACCTTGACCTCAGAACTGGGATGATGAAGAGATTATGTGACACCCTGTCTTGTGGTGGTATAAATGTGTATCAACATCGGGGAAACTAAACAGCCACTGGCCAAAAGGATGGACCAGCACAGAAGAGCAACATCATCAGGCCAGGACTCTGTGGTCTACACTCATCTCCAGGTCAGCGGTCACTCTTTCAGGGGTGAAGATGTTCACATCCTGGATAGAGAGGAACGATGGTTTGAGAAAGGAGTAAAGGAGGCCATCTTTGTGAAAAGAAACCGTCCATCATTAAACAGGGGTGGAGCCTTTGTGTTCAACTGTCCCCCTCTTACAATGCTGTTATTGCTAGTATCACTCAGCCCTCTGGGAAGAGCAAGTGGCCATCAGAGCACTAACAGGCTGATGGTCCTCTTTTATCATGTGAACAGCTAGAAGAGAGGAGTGATGGGGGAGAGGGAGGGCCCCAGAAACCATCTTATCACCAGCAAACTGTTTTTTTTTTTCCCACTATGGGAGTGCAGTATTTGTGGGACTCCAGTTTGTTTGTGGCCTCTCGGACTGAAGAAGTTCTCTGGATGAAGGATGGAACATTTCAGAAAAAAAGAAGCCGTCCAGATGACCTGACTGAACATTGTTGGATTTATAACCTGGATTATTGAGCATGAACTGCTGGTGTATGTGAACAGCTAGTTGTGGCTGTCACCAGCAGACTGGTTGATCCACTATGAGAAGGTGCTGCTTATAAGAGGCTCAATGGGATTTACCTGTCTAAATAAAGGTTGAATGAATGAATAAGACTGAGCTTGTTGCAGCTCCTCAAACTGAAGAAGACTTTTGGATAAAAGGCAAAACGTTTCAACAAGAAGAATCCGTCCAGAGGACCTGACTTCACCTTGTTAATTTAGCTACCTGGATTATTGAGCAGCATCAGGATTCAGAAATGTGTACCAGTTTTGGTTTAATTATTTTGAGCGAATCAGAAGTTATTGGCTGGATGGAGATGTACCATCAGTCTGCCTTTGGAAGGGCATATCAAAAAGGATAAGAGCAGATACGGTGGGTTACCTGTTGGAATGCGTTATTTTTGGGCCACAGACTGACCACTGAACCTTTGTCCATCATCTTTGAAATGTCTGACATGTGGACATACTTGTCCAGCTCTATGACCTTCTCCATCCACTGGATCTTTGTCATTCCATGGTCAGAAAATATCATCACGTTCAGCTGCTTCGCCATGTTGGTCTCCTGCAAGAGTAAACACAGAAAATAAGCCAACAGAAAACATAGAAATGTCTTGTGATTGAAAGAATAGTTGCGATCTTACTTTGATTTTTCTGTTGAGGATCTGTATGACAAGATCCAGGTGTTGGACAGCTGTTCGGACCTGCTGCGAGTCTGGTCCAAAGTGATGTCCTTCCACATCTATTTTCTCATAATACACAGCGGCCATGTCTGCGTTGCCTGAGCTAAACAAACAAATATTTGATGTTTCTGCTGTCACCAGGGAGAAAATGAAGCGTATTGAAAGACTCGGCAGAGGAAAAAGCATTACACAACTTCAAATATATGAGTTCCTTTAAGCCCAGGCGCTTGAGAAAAAAACTTAAATAAATCCAAATGTCACGTGAATGATCTGCTGGGACCATGTGACCAGATTTCAGTGGATGGACAGTCTCCAACTTCCTGTTTCACCTTTTATGATAAAAAAATTTGACTTTGGTCAAGTCTTCTTATGACAAATGTTCTATATTGGGGCTACAAAACAGGTTAAATCATATCATCTGGACCAGTTCCTTTAACTGAGAAACGTTTCATCTCCCATCCAGAGGACATCGTCTGTCCTATATCAGGACTATTCAATTGCTCGGGGAGGGGGGGGGGGCACCGTTAATGAAAGCCAAGAGCTCAGGGGCCGGACATCCAGTAGTTATTCTTCTCATTAAGTAAGGTTGTGTTAAGATATTTCTTAATTAGACTGGTCCTATGGTTTTGATCTGCTCAGAGACGGGATTATTATGAAATTATGACCCGGTTCTGACTGGGTTAAACTAGGCCAGCAGCTCTCAAGAGAGTCTCCCTGGGATTTCAATATCATTCAAATAGTTTAATTTGCTTGCCACATCACGTAGAAAGGCTTTGAAGCACTGTCTCATATTTTTCCTAACACGTCAGTCCACATAAGACCACACTTAGCCACGCCCCCTCATACACTGATAAGATGAGCTCCCCTTCTGCAAAAGGAGGAGTCACAGGACCCCATAAATTAGTAAGGACACGGGACTTCAAGGCTCTTCCGGGTCTGTGAACATGTCACAGTCCGGAGAGTCCAGCGCTGTGATTTGTAATCTTTTTCCTGCCTTTTTTAATAAAATTGATTAAACTTAATTGACGTTTCCTTGATTTATTCATAGTATGAGTTGCCACTTCTGAGAGAGAAAGAACCAAAGGAAGCGGTGGGGGCTGGCTGAGGGTCCAGGGTCAGAGAGGAAGCCTGAGGCCCACAGCTAGCCGTAGCTAGCTGCAGTGACTGATGACCCGCAGTCGGCTCCCATAATGCAACAGCTGGTGCCGAAACCCTCCTCTCGTCTGTAGAAGTGGCAGCTCGTTTTTATTGTTTAATGGTGACACAGTGGCAGGTGACCGAGTCGGAGCAGACTGTTTCTAGACTGTTTATTAGAAACGCGTTAAAACTTGGACGTCTGGACAGTGTCAAGAGGTGTGGTCATGTGACAGTTCGAAGAAACCCTATGTGGTTTTGGGTGCCTGTGGGGAGAATTACTGCCTCCTCGAAAGAAAGTGATGGCCTCAAGGTTCTGTTTATGTTAGTTCCATAGGTCTGTAGCAAAGAAATACAGACTGACCAGTTGTGCATCCCCGAGCGACGTAGATGTTTTTATATATATTTTTTATATACATTTTTATTCTCGTCTATTTTCGGTCGAGGCTGCGCTAATTGGGACGGCAGAATCTTTAAATGTACAACTAAATATGGATGATCCCTAGACATTGATCTGAGGTACCTAAGAATTTATGAGGTGTTGTTATGGCTAAGATAGGGATAACTAGAAGTCTTTAGAATAGGCAGTGAGGGAAATGTGTTTTTATAAGTTGAGGGACAGGCAAGAACCTTAGTTAGGCAGGTATAAGGAAATATAACATTGTTAATGCCATGTATATTTGTTGCATGAATGATGTTAGAGTGTGAGGATCTGCTGTATGAATGATTGTATGTTTGTTATTGTGGAACTAATATAAGTTACTTTACAGACAATTAAGAGTGGAAACAAATATCCACAGCTGCCTAGTACAAGGTCACTTAAATAACAGCAAATGTACACAGACTTATAAAAACCTAAGGCGGGAGGAATCAAACATCAGGCCAAAATTGGTAAGTGACCTTGTTATATTAAGATGATTTTATTTAAATAACTTTTAAAGACCAACAGGAGCATTTCAAGGTGGGAGCCCAGACAGAAAACAGAAAATCTCCGCCCTCAAGTTGATGTGAGTAGATGAACACACACAGACCTCTCTGAAGATAATGTGACAGGTCAAGGATGTTTTTCATTTACCACAGTCTCGTGTGTGGGTTATCGTGTCGTTTTGTCTAGAGCAGAGACAGACTGGAGCCGTGTGTTTTGTTTTTTATTTTTTCTTGCAGGATTTTTGAGTTGTTACAGGTTAAAATGAATTAAAAGATGGGGGAACTCGAACACGTCTGTGAAATTAAACCAACCAGGGTAAAAGTATGTAGTGAACTAAGCCTCCGATCAAGACCTGCCTCTGAAGACCTTCATGGGACAGGAACTGTTATTTCATTGATTTGAATCCAGAAATACAAATTAGCTCATCCAGAGACTTTCTAATTGTATCCTGAACCAATCATTTTAAATCAACTGTGAAACAGTATTAATGATTTTTTAATCCTCATTCAAAGTAGAAATCAAGTTAAATGTCTATGTTACAAAGTAATTATGCATTTTTGATCTTCTGTCTGAAATGAGAAAGGAGTGATGTCGGTCAAAAGTCGGAGACAGTCGCAAACAAGTTTA